GTGGGGAGCAGTTGGAGGGGGGCGGTATGGGGTGGACTGTAATCCAAAATTGGTTGAGGCTTGGAAAATGAGCTTGGGTCCCCAAGACAGTGGCTTTCCTGAAGAAGGAGGATCTTTAGGAGCCAGGTGGAAGCCTGCTACCTGTGTCCTTTACTCTCTGGTGAGGTGGCATCCATGCCCCAGGCCTCTCGCTTTTACACACAGTGTGGCAAAGAGGTTGGGGCTTGGAAACCACATCGTCTAAGGACTGAAGAAGGTGGGCAATGCTTTCAAAGGATGTCAGGGAAGAGGATCCTGAAAATGTGTTGTAGAAACCTGGCTCCCGGCCTCGGTTGCTGAAGTCACTGGCGGGGTCACAGCCCTTTGCTGCAGGAGGGGCTCTTCACAGCTGGGGGTGCCCTTCAGTGTTAGTGGCTGGTCTCAGCCATGGGGACCTGGTTCCTAGGCAGCGTGAGCGGGACCTGTATTGAGATGGTGCTGCAGCTCTCCACAGCAGGAAATGCCCACTTACCTTTGCAGCAGACCCCAGTCGCCTGCCAGTGACTTCTGTTCAGGGTTCTTGTGAATTTTAAGAACAAAACCCACAGACAATGAAGATTGAGAGTGAAAGAGTAGGATTTTTTGCAAATGAGAAGAAAAGAAATAGAGCTCTCACCAGGCGAGAGGGAACCCTATAGGAGATTGCCATTCAGGTGTGCTAGTCTGGAGGTTAATATGGCTGCCAGGTAGGTGCATTGATCACTATAGGTATGTTTATCAGGTATTGGAAAAATACCAAGGCTATTGGTTTGGCCTGTGACCTTCTGGTTGCTGGCCCGCCCCCCCTTTTTTTCCCTTTTGGTACCAGGGATTGAACTCAGGGCACTTGACCACTGAGCCACATCCCCAGCCCTATTTTGAATTTTATTTAGAGACAGGGTTGCTTGGTGCCTCGTTTTTTGCTGAGGCTGGCTTTGAACTGGCGATCCTCCTGCCTCAGCCTCTCAAGCCACTGGGATTACAGGTGTGTGCGCCACCACGCCTGGTGATAGTGCCCTTTTTAGCCCTTGAGTCTGAAGCCTTCACTCAGTGCATCCCACTTCCCTTTCCCAGCAGCTCTAGGACATGAGAGTTGGCTGGTATGTTTGGAATTTTCTCCAGGTTAATTTCATGGAGTGGCATTTATTTTAGAACAGTCTTTATGGACCCATTGCACTAACTGCTGCCCATTTTACTCTCTGTCTATCCTGTCTATGGGCTGGACTCTTCAGTCCTCTGGCCAAGGCCCTCTACTTTTGTCAGGATGGACTGTCACCTTATTTGATTGTGTGTTCACGGCCCTGTCTCTACCACTCTGTCCAGAAGCTCCAGTAAGACAGGGGCATGTCTGTCTTGCTCTCTGGGTCTCTAGACATTCAATAAATGTCTGCTGAATGAGAAAACGCAAATAGCCCAGCCCTTCACCAGACTCTTAGCCTTGGTTCTTTCTGTTCCCTCTCTTGGGCTTCCTCTGCACTCTCTCCTCTTTTCTCTTTTCACATGTCAAAACCTTCCCCATCCTTCAAGACCATTCAAATGGCACCTCCACTGCGGAGCCTGCCCTGGTCCCCCAGCTTGGAACTTTATTTCTCCCTGCAAAATCAAAAGGCACATGGCTCCTCCATTATATTGCACTGTTCATTCTGGATTACCACTATTTCTGCACCCATCCCTGTTCACCAAATTGACAATGAGCTCCTTGGGCAGGTCATCTTGTTACCCTGGGGCTCTTGTACACTAAGAGGTGAAAATTTCAAGCAAGACAGGAAACAGGACACAAAATGTAATAAAAGTATAGCAAAGTATACCAGAGGAGAAAGGAAAGATGTCCTAAAAGGAAAGGGTGGTCTCTTTTGTTCCCTAGGTTTATGGGGGTCTTAGAGAAGTTTCTAGAAAGTCTTGTCCAGGTACCACCTCTTAATTCAATTTTTTTTTTTGTACCAGAGATTGAATCCAGGGGCACTTAACCACTGAATCACAACCCCAGCCCCTTTTTATTTTTTATGTAGAGACAGTGTCTTGCTCAGAGCCTCACTAAGTTGATGAGGCTGGCTTCAAACAAGCAATCCTCCTGCCTCAGCCTCCTGAGCAGATGGGATTACAGGCCCAGCTCTTTTTTTTTTTAATATTTTTTTTAGTTATAGAGGAGCATAATGCCTTTATATTTTATTTATTTTTATGTGGTGCTGAGAATCGAACCCAGTGCTTCACACATGCTAGGCCAGCACTCTACCACTGAACCACAACTCCAGCCCCACCTCTTAACTTTTGATTGACAGTAGGTCTGCATCAGATTTTAAAATCCCTACTGCATGGTCTTACCACAGGTACTAAAGTGAAACTCATGATGGGGGAGGGGAAATTTTGCTATGATAATAAGATTAAAATGAGATGTTAAAGATCTAAATGCAACTCTTGGTCATCTTGGCCTAGGCTGACTAATTCTACCTGGAATTTGATTTTTTGATTTTGCTTTTATAGATTTTTATGGTAGGGTTGTAGGAAAAGATGAGGCAAGGCACCAAAGATAGCAGGAAACAGTTTTATTTGGCAGTAGCCAGGCTCAGAGGGCACAGCTTTTGCTGTAATCAATCAACCCCCTGAACCCTGAGCTCAGGTAGTTTCAGAGTTTTGTACCCAGCATGTAAGGGGAGGGGCTCAGAAGTTCACAGTCTGCAGAAGTTCACATAAAAGCAGCTTTTTCTTTACTGTTCTGGGCAAGTTAACCCTTCAAGGACAACACCTGAGAAGGGGAGAGCTTCTTTTCCCCTTTCTTTCCTCCCCCTGCCAGCTGTTACCATGGAGCCCAATTGGTAACTTCTCTTATCTTAGAAATGTAGACATCTCTGTGAAGCCCAGCTCAAGGCCAGAAGCCTTGTTTACACATTTTTACAAACTACTATACTGGATACATGTTTGTGAGAAACTAGTAAGGGGGTGTCCAGCACCTGCAGTGCTGATTTCTTCCCGGCCAGTGGCCAAATAAAACAGGGCAACACGAAAATAGGAAATTTATCTACATTGAACTCTTTTGCAGAGACTCTTTTGCTGACAGTCCTAAAATCAGCCATGGTGAAGATTTCTGGAGAAGCCCAGTTATGACTTTTCTGTGGAGAAAGGGGGTGCCACTTCAGTAGGTCTGCTTTGCTTTTAATTATCCTATTCTCCTGGGTGTTGGAATTTTTGGTCTGCATAAAATTCACAAAAGTCCCCTCTTCAGGGTGATTTGTGTTTTGTTTTATATATATATATGTACTTTTATTTTATTTGTTTAAAAATGTGGAGCCCGGGACCAAACCCAGTACCTCCTGCGTGCTAGGCAAGTACTCTACCACTGAGCCCCAGCCCCAGCCCCTGATCTGTGTTCTTATAAGCAGAGAGAAGTTTTAAATTCTGTGGCTAACAGGTTTTTGGTCAAGGAATGCAGCGTCCTATTGACTTAAATCAGAGCAGAGCCAGAATGGCTTTGGGTAAACTGCCTTTTGAAAGCATGTGGGCTGGGGTAGTAAAAAAAAAAAAAAAAAAAAAAAAAAAATATATTTATATATATATATATATATATATATATATATATATATATATATATATAATAAAAGAAAGCATGTAGGGGCCAGTAATAGGCCTTAATGTCACCTACCTACTGGTCAGGATGCCACCTCTCATCTCCACCCTCTTCTTCAATTGCTGTAGTAATTTGCCTAAATCATGCCCTACCCTAGTGCCATTTCAGACATTTGCATGGCCTCACCACACCAGGAGGTGGTGGGAGCTGGGCTGCAGAGATTTTCTGTTCTCACAAGATCCCTTGGCAAGAGCCCAGGAGAGCAGAGATGGCCTGGATGGAGGGACTGGGCTCCAGGGGAGATTTCCAGGGGCCTCTGTACTGTCCAGCCTTGAGTAAACCCAGCTCTGCACATGTGTAGCAATCATCTGTTCTGGCAGAGGCAGGTGTGTGTGTGTGTGTGTGTGTTGGATGAATCATCAGGGAGGGGCAGAGGAAGCCCTGGGTTTCTGAAAGACTAGATCTTCCCCTAACCCTTCCTGTTAGAGTTTCTGGAGAGTGAGTGACAGTTTTCCCTGCAGATCTGACACTGGTGTTTCAGGGACTTTTGGTCCTGAGCTAGACCCGACACCCATACCTGGCCCTGGACATTGCTGGCCAGGGGCCAACATCTCAGCACAGATAGCCTGGAAGGGGTAGTCTACAGGACTGTGTTGAGCTCAGGGGTCAGGCTGAGGGCTAGGGAGGTGGAAGTGAGTGGAATGCAGTTCCTGCCAGGTGAAGGGGAAGAGAGGGCTAGACGGAGGAAAGGGCTGCTCTGGGCCCGCCCCAGCCTTGGTTGGCTGGAAACAGAACTGGTAGAAGCTGGGAAAGTAGTAGCTACACACAACAACCCCCTTGACATAGAAACACAGAAAAATACACTCGACAGGAAAATAGAAACTATTCATTGAGTGGCCAGTAAGAGGCACTAACTAGGGCTTTCTAGAGAAACTCAAAGGCAGAGCTTACTAGAACTTACTGTAAGAACCTTGATAGAAGCTTTAGGAAACCCAACAAGGGCATTGAAAACCAACCAACCAACCAGCCAATTAACCAACCAACTAACCAACCAACCAACCAACCAACCAACTGACCAAATGGTCTAGAGGGCAGACTGATGTGGTAGCTCAGAACAGACTCCAAAGCCAGTCCTCCTGGCATCCAATTCCAGCTCCTACATGGGTGACCTTGAGCAACTTAGCCTCTTTAGGCCTCAGTTTTCTTTTCTAAAAATTTGGGCTTATACTCATACCTCCTTCATTAGGTTATTATGAGTACTAAGTGAGTTCATATACATAGAGAAGTTAGAACAATGCCGGACACATAATAGTCACCAAATAAGCATGTGCTATTATGATTATTTTTATTATTTAAAATCAACATCTAGGACCCAGAACCAACCCATAAAAGTTCTATTTAGACTCTTCCCCCCCCTCATTTTTGAAATCAGTGCATTGTAATTGTATATAATTGTGGGATTTGTTATTACATATTGTACACACACACAGTATCTATGATACACAGGTTTGGTCCACTGATCAGAAACATCAGTATTACTCAAGAGCTTGTTTGAGATTCTGTGGTTCAGTCTTGGATGCACTGAATCAGAACTCGCACTTGACTAGAATCCACATTCATAAGCTAGGCCGAGACTGGGCCATTTGAGAAGGAGGCCAATGAGGGTAGACTGTCTGCCCTGGGGTCCTAAGGCCTTGGAACATGGATGTCAACATGGGCATTTCACATGGGTGCACTGTTGCCATTCAAGCCTGGCAGGGTCCCTACACATCAGTGTGCTGGGACAGCCTTGTGCCTGGAGCCACCATGGGTGCACGGTGGCTGAGGCCAGTCCCCCAGAACCCCGGGGATGCTGCAAGGTCAAGTGGAGGTTTGCTGGAGTACCAGGTACTTAGGAGGTGGTCTACCTGCTCTTGGCTGCAGACTGCGCGCAGGTGGGCCTTCCCACTTCCGCCATCCAGGTCGTCTAGGGGTTCAGGGGGCTCCTCCCCCAGATCCCGGCGCAGCCCCCTTGCCTGCAGCTCGCTCTTCATGCTGGCAAAGAAGTGCAGCACGCAGCGGTGCGCGAAGTCCCGGGCATGCTCACAGCACGTCTCGTCAAAGAGCTTCTGTTCCAGGTCCACGTAGTTGCTCCAGTATCTGCGCTGCAGCCAGACTGTCTGGTCGAAGCAGGGCCTCAGGCAACGGACCAGGAAAGCCGCCACAATCAGCAGCAGGGTGATACTCCAGCCGATGGCCTAGAGGTTGAGGAGGCATGAGGTGGGGTGCAGTGGGGCTCAGGTGCTGTAGCATACTGTGGAGGTGCTCCAAAGCCCCCTCTTTACTACTCCCTTCATCCTTCCTCAAATCTATCCACTTTTCCATTCAGTCATGCATCCTACCAGCTATTCTCCATCCGTATTAATCCATCCATCCATCCATCCATCCATCCATCCATCCATCCATCTTTTCCATTTATTCTCCCATTCTTGTAGCTACTCATCTATCCAACCATCTCTCCACCCATCCATCCAGTCATCTATCCTCTTATCTGACTATATGTCCATCATCTTCCATCCAGCCTTCCTCCCATCCTGTCCATATCCATCCTCTTAGCCATCCACCTTTCCACCCATTCATGCTTCCATATTCTTAACCTTCTGCTTATCACCCACCCACCCATCACCCATCCTCTCTTATCTTTTCATTTAGTCCTTCATGTGATCCTCATGTACATTCATCCATCCATCCTCTCATCCATGCACACCTTCATGCTCTATTTTGTGGGAGACACTGTGCTAGGAATGGGGACAGGGAACAGTGCCCAGGCAGTGAGAAACTGGAAGCCATTCTTTAAGGCTGGAGCCCACACCTGGCAGATTCTTCTTTCCTCTACCTTCCAAAATTGCATCTCTTCAAGGTCCAGCTTAAATCCTGGAGCAATGAGAAATCACTCCTCGAAACTACAAAGCCATCTGAATGCTTGTCATTTATAGATATGATTCCCATCATGTACAAAACTGTCTCATATGGCTGTACACAGGACCCTTCCACCCAAATTTAAGGTGAATATTTTATACATGAGGAGCAGAAAATCAGACAATTTGCTGAGCTTAACTTGACTGATGGCTAACAGCTTAGTTAGGGTTTAAACCCTTGTCTGACTTCACTTTCCACTGAACTCAGGAGAACTTAGAGTGTTGAAGCCCACAGAGACCAGCAAGGTTGAGGACAGCAACCCTTCCCTGCTTTATTTTGCACAAGAAACCGAGGCCCAGAGATCAGTGCTATGGCCAAAATCACAGTCTGAATCAGAATCAAGTGCTGCCTGAACACTGGTCCTCTCTCACTGCACCACAGGCCTGTGTTTGCACCAGCCTGTTTGCCCCCCACAGAAGACAGGGCTTGGGTCTTCATGGCCTGTAACCCTAGTGGTGCTCCATGTGTGATGGGCTCCCGTAATTCTCTTTGGTGGATACACTCCAGCACAGGGATCTGGGGGTGGTGGTGATGGAATCTGAAATCTGGAAGTGGGCCTGGGTTTGCCCTCAGGATAATGGAGTGGGTACCCTATAGAGAGCCAGGCACTGAGGGGAACCTGCACTGTGCGGGGGGGGGGGTTTAAGGAATAATGGCACATGCATTCAGATCCCCCACCCTGCCTCTTACATGCTGTATGGCATTGAACTTGTTAACTAAAAACTCTCAGAGCCTCAGTTTCTTCATTTGCAAATGGGATGATAGTCATTGTATCTGTCTCTGAGGGTTGTGCTGAGAATGTAATGAACAAACGCATAGAAAATGCTAATACCTGTGACAGGCACCGCAGGTATCGAGACACGGCCTTTCGAGCAGGGTTGTCCCTGACCAGCTCATCTTCCTTGCAGGGCACCTTGGCCAGGAAGAGCTGCACTTGGCTGGGGGTCATGTTGGCAAAGTCCAGAAACTTCTCAGGGTCTACAGAATTGCTGAAGGCACACACAAAGCACTTTCCATCAAGGAGGGCCAGCAGGATCCAGACCATGGGGGCAGCCAGTGCTCTCTGCAGCACAGAGGAGCACATGTACCTGGGAGCAGAGAAAGGAGGAGTCACAAAGGGCAGGCGGAATTCAGCTGTGGAGTCTGAGTACTGCCACTTCCTAGATGTGAGAGCTTGGCCAAGTAACTTAACTTCTCTGTGCCTCAGGTCCTCACCCTTAAAAATGGGTCTTACCAAGGATCGGACTCAAGGCTGAGGAGAGAATTCAGAGAGGCCACGCTCGCGAGGCCCTTAGCAGAACAGAGCTTGACTCCAAGTTGGTGCGCAACAGGGGCTGGTGAGCATTGCGCATTGCCAAGATCATCGGCTGATTTTGATACAGGGCACGTGTCATGCCCTGAGGCATAGGGGTGCTACAGGTGAGGTCCTTGTCCTTGGGGAACTTGCTGGAGAGGGCATGCAGCCTTTAAGTAAACCACTGCTTCTCATTACAGGCAGAAAACTGCTCTGCGTGCCATGGTCACCTCTGGTGAATGTGGCAAGTTATAATCCACGGCCAGTGTGACAGATGTGGCTTGGAGAATTCTTGGAAACCCTGTATCATTCATATTTTTGTGGCACTGGTCATGGAAAGGTGACCAATGATAGGAACAGAATTATACATGTATTTCTTGGGAAGTTGAGGCAGGAGGATGGCAAGTTTGAGGTCAGCTTGGGCAACTAAGTAAGACTCTATCTCAAAATAAAGTAATAAAAAAAAGGGACTAGGATGTGGTTTGGTAGCAGGGTGCTTGTCTGTCATGTGCTAGGCCCCGAGTTCAATCGCTAGTGCTGCAAAAATGTAGATCTTTCCAGATGGAAACTGGTTACTGGGTCTCTATGAGCTGAAGGAAGTTGGGGAAGGAGGGGGCACACTTGACAGTACCCGGGGGCTGGGTGGGGGAGCCCCTGACAGTGCCCAGGGATTGCTGAGAGAAGAGGTGTGGGATCCTACCAGATGATGCCCGAGTCCTTCCTCCGGTGCCCCTCGGGCCGGCACCACTCCTCCACCATCACCACAGACTGCCGGTTGACCAGGAGACCACAGAGGAAGAGGGCCAGTGGGGGCGTGAGCAGCAGGCCCAGGCCATAGAGGGTGTTGTAGCGCGCCAAGCAGGGGCAGTTGAAGTCGAAGGAGGAGTACAGCTTGATGGTGACCGCAGCCAGCAGCAGGCAGATGCCGTTCATCACAGACTCGGAGCTGTTCTGGAAGTGTTGGAAAAACAAGCGGAACCTGTCCATGGCTGTTGTAGGGTGGGGGCAGCTGCCAGATGGGTGCACTGAGGCCTGGCCACACTGGGCCCCAGGAGTTCTTTCTCCTTTTCCAGGGGTCTGAGGAGGAGTCCGTGTCTAGTCCTCAGCCCAGCCCCTAAAGACTTAAGGCAGAGGCAGGCTGTCTCCGTGAAGGCTCTTCTGACCAGGCAATTGTCCCCAGTGCTGCTCCCTCTGTACTGGGCAATGTGTCACTGCTCTGTGACCAACCAACCCAAGCACCTCTAGGCAAATGGGTGTCACTCTGTCACTCCACCCCTCCCCACCTCATTCTTCTTTTCTTCGGGGATTTGGATACTCAGGCCAGACAGCTGGGGGGAGAGGCAAATGCTGGGTGTGGTAAGGCAAAGATGCAGATGGGGCCAAATTGTGCTTTCTCGTCTTGGTCAAGAACATGACTTGGCTCAGACCAGGATTTCTGGTGGGCTCCTGGACTGGGATCAAGCCCAGGAGCATCTGTCTTGGCCTGGGGGCTTCTGGAAGAGAAGACTCCTGAGAAGAGCCTTAAACTGTGCCTCCACATTGGCCTTGAAAAGGGTTGTGGGAAGGGAAGGGCTTCCAGGTGGGGGTTCTGCATAATCAAAGGCCAGGAGGTGAGAAGTGTCAGACGGGAAGTGAAGCTCAGTGGAGACACAGAAGGAGGCCCCAGGTTCAACCCCCAGCACTGCAGAAAAAGAGGGGGGAAAAGTGACAGACAGGGGTGTTGGGGAAGGGGCTGCAGGGGGGGGTGCTACCTCCCTCGTGTCCATTTTGTTCTATGCCCCCCCCCAGTCTGGCTAAACACAGCTTCTACCACACACCCTGCAGCCTCCCGAGCTTGGCATTCAAGCCCTCCTGATGTACCTGACTCCCACCTCTACACCTTTTCCGATGCCAGGCCCCTCTCCCAGACACTTATCCTTCCCTCCTGCCTGCCCTCCAGCAGGCAGCTCAAATGCAGCCCTTTTACCTTACCTCTCACCCAGCCCTTGGGAGGGCTGCCTGAGCCCGTTATTAAGCCTTCCCGGGTGTGGGGGTGATGTCCCTTCTAGGTAGCACAGGACCCGGGCCTGCACCTTTTTGTTTCCTGGAGCACCTAGGTTGGTGCTAAGCAAATGTTTGTAAGTGATGGCAAATGTTTGTTCTCATGATGTTGACAGGGGGACCCCCTTTATTTCCTCTCCAGCTCTGATCTTTCTCTTTCCACCTCTTGATTTGTACCACCCTCTCTCTCTCTGCTCCTAAGAAGCAAATGAGTGGACGTAGGTCTTGCCTTCAGTCTCTCTGTCTCTCTCCCTTTGTCTCTGTCTGTCATTCTTTACTCTTCTGTCTCCCTAACTCTCTCTTTCTCTCTCTCTCTGTCTCTCTTTCTATGGTCCCTTGGTACATATTTCTGAGTGTCTCTGTCTCTCAGTTGTTGCCTCTTTCTGTCTTTCTGTCTGTCCTTTCTAATTCTCCTGTCCACATGTATTTGACAGTCCTGTGGTCAGTAGCCTGGCGACAGCCACAGCAGCCCAGGGGGCCTGTTCCTGAGGTGGGAAGTCACCTGGGCCTGAATGAGGGGTCAGGATGGTTGAATATCCAGACCCCAACTACATAGGCTCCTCCTCAGCCTTCTTTTCTCTAGCTCCTTCAAACCTTGCCCATAGCCACTGATAAGGTAAGGGAAGCCTGAGACTGGGATGGACTTGACCCCCACTGGCCCCTGCTCCATCAGGCCTGGACTCAACTCCAAGTAATGTCCTTAGTGAAATGCCTGCCTCAGCCCTGTTGTCCCTTCCTTAGGCCCTGGGTCCTCATGGTCATGCGTGTGCTTCCCACAGCCCTCTGGAGCACACCAATTAGACATCCTTTGCAATCTGTCCCACCGACACTCCATCTCCATGGACTCACCCTGACTACTGTGGCTGCACCAACCAGCATTCCTTCCATACTCTCACGCAACTTTTAGAAAATGAAAGCATCTCTACTTTTTTTCCTTTTCCTGATAAAACACTATTATTACCAGGCGTGGTGGTGCACACCTGTAATCCCAACTACTTGGGAGGTTGAGACAGGAGGATCACAAGTTCAAGGCCAGCCTGGGCAACGTAGTGAGACCCTGTAGCACCAAACCAAACCAAACACTCAAAAAACCCCACTATTGTGAAAAATTCAAAGATGGCATTATATCTTCCCATCATTGCACTTGCAGAGAGTCTGCCTGTCTACAGTGGTGTGTGTCCTTCCAGACTTGTGCCAGAGCTCTGTGGCCCAGGCTGGCTGGCCTGCCTGGAGTTTCCCAGGCTGGGGAAGGATTGACTGATGGGTGCTACTGCTGGTCCAAGGAGCTCCAGCAGCACCCACAGCAGAGGCAGCCTATGTGCCATCCCCAACCGTGATTTCCAGTTTGGAGCAAGTCTCAGACACCACCAATCCTTCTCCTTCCACATGTGACGTCATATAGGTCTCTTTCTGTGCCTCAATTTCAGCTTCTCTGAGGGATGACAGCCCACCTTGCTGTGTGATGGACTCCTGGAACCTGCTAAAGGAATACAGTGTAGTTCACTTAGCCTATATTTTTATTTCATATAATATGCATGTTAGTCCTGGTCTTCCAAGACAGGATTAACTGTGTGGGGAAAATGGTGGGGATAGAGTTGAGAGGGCAAGTCCCCTGGAAGTCATCAAAGTGGGACCATGTGGAGGAACAGGCAGGTGTTCTGGGGCAGGAGTTGAGGAACCTTTGTCTCCTAACATCATGGAGGACAACCTCTACCACAATTTCAGGTGGAGGGCAGTCCCAGAAAGGTGGGGTGTCCTGTCTGAGGTCACACAGCCTAGTGGGGACAGAGTCAGGAAGAAAGTTGGGATCCTCTTGTGCCTTTTTGCCTTAGTCATCCACTGTGCTGTTGACCAGAATAGGGTCCAGGCTCCTCCACCCTGAGCCTGCAGAGCAAGAGAACTGGTCTGGGAGGGTCCTCAGCAATACTTGCTCTCATTCTGGTCTGCAGAGTAGGGTGGCCTGAGGTAGGGCTGCTTCTTACCTTGGACGTCTCCAGAAAGGATCAAACAATGCTTCTGGGAGGTCAAGGTGAGAGGTGAGACAGCTTCAGGTCAGCCCAGGCCCCTGGGTTCCTGCAGGGCAGTGGTGTGCAGTTGAGCACCGACAACTGCCTTGCTAGGTATTTACTGGGAAATGCTTTAGCAGGAAAAAGATGAAGGACACCAACCATAATTTAGAGATATTATTTCTTTTTCTTTCTTTTTTTTTAAAGAGAGAGAGAGAGGGAGAATTTTTTAATATTTATTTTTTTTTAGTTTTTGGCGGACACAACATCTTTGTTTGTATGTGGTGCTGAGGATCGAACCTGGGCCGCACGCATGCCAGGCGAGCGCGCTACCGCTTGAGCCACATCCCCAACCCTAGAGATATTATTTCTCATAGGGCAAGGAAATGGCTATAAAGTTTAAAAAAAATCTACGTTTCAGGATTGTCTAATTTTATGATTTTTTAAAAATTTCCAATAAAATCATAAAGCTTTTTCTTTTTTTGTGGGTGTGTGTCTACTGGGTTTAGCATCCAGGAGTGCTCTACAACTGAGCTACATCCCCACTTCTTTTTATTTTTCATTTAGAGACAGGGTCTCACTAAGTTGGCCGGGCTGGCCTTGAACTTGTGATCCTCCTGACTCAGCCACCTGAGTCAGTGGGATTACAGGTGTGCATCACTACCCAGATGACAAAATATTTTTATTGGAAAAATTTAAAGAGATAAAGGGACAAGGTGAAATGGTTATCACATTTTGTTGCCTTAAGCCTGGGCTTGCTGAACCAGAAGAAGAAACAGGAAAGAATAGGAGAAGGACTTAACTTACTCCTGGGTATGGGAAGATATTAAATCGCACATCTGCTGTGTGACAATGCCTATAACCAGACTTTCTCAATCTCCCACCCCATCCTAGAGTTCGGCAGCAAAATTCTTCTGGGTCTTTTAATTCTAGGAGGGTTTTCTTTCTTTCTTTTTCTTTTTTTGAGACAGAATCCTGCTCTGCTGCCCAGGCCAGGCTTGAACTCCTGGGCTCAAGCAATCCTCCTGCCTCAGTTTCCCAAGTAGCTGGCACTACAGATGTTCACATTTAAAAAATTCTTCCTCCTCCTCCTCCTTCTTTTCAGGGCCTCATACATACTAGACATGTGCTCTGCTGCTGAGCTAAATCCCCAGCACCTCCTTTTAAAAACGTTTATATTCATATATAAATGATGGCTCTGCTGGAGAAACTCATTGTATCTGGTGGCAGGGGTGCACATGCATGCATGGTTGTACATACATGGGTGTCTCGTGTGTGTGTGTGTGTGTGTGTGTGTTTCGTGTGTACATATCTGCTGTGAGGTGGGCATGTGTGTAGTGTGTGTGTGTGTGTGTGTGCACTCAGAAATCCGTGTGTGATTAAGTTACCACTTTGTGTATAATGAGAAACCCTCCCTGAGCTGCTCTTTTTTCTTTTTCCTTCTAAGGAAAGACAGTGGAGTGTGTCCCACTTCTTTCAGGCTGGGGAGGGTGTCTAGAGGAGCAGTAGGTCCCTCTCTGCCCAAGAGTGACAGGATTTTGTCAGCTACCATGAGGACAGAGGCCTTTCTGGGTCCTGGCAGACCTGGGGGAAGCCATGTGTCACTAATGTCACCAGAGTCACATGGCCCCCAAGGGACAGGAGGGAGGAAAACAAGAAAGCAAGACTATTTAACCAAGGACACTGGAGCAACTGAGTAATCATTCAGGAACAACTTAAAAGAAATCTCTACATCATTTTTTTATACTAAAATAAATTCCACAGGGTTCAAAGATCTAAGCATAAAAATTAAAATCATAAAAAATCAGAAAGAAAATGTGGGTGAATTGATTCCTCATTAGAGGCTAGGAAGGCCCTCAGGGAGTAGAGTTCATCTAGTAGCTGTGGAGGAGAAGAACAAAGTGGGCCTCATCAAAACTAGAAAATTCTGTGGGCAAAAAT